AGGGAATGGCTCCCAGTGCCAGAGGGCAGGGCTGGGTGGGAGATTGGGAATTGGGAATTCCTGGCTGGGCTGGAATTGCCAGAGCAGCTGTGGCTGCCCCTGGATCCCTGGCAGTGCCCAAGGCCAGGCTGGGCATTGGGGCACCCTGGGACAGTGGGAGGTGTTCCAGGCTGGAAATCTGGGAGGTTTGATGGGAACAAAGTGTCAGGAATGGGGAAAAGAGGAATTTCAGACCTCAGAACACCCAGAGCCCAGGCCAGGCACAGGAAATCAGAGTGGCTGAGTTTTTCACTGGTGAAGTTGAGATAAATCCAAGAATTCTGAAGGGTGAAGGAGAGAGAAGTGATTTAATGTCTGAACATAACAAATGCCCTGGGACAGGGAAGGCAGAGATGGATTTGAGGGGGTTTTGGAGACCTGGGAAGGGCTTTAGAAAATCAGGGAAGAATCAAACCCTTGGGCAGGGAAATGCAAAGGATTTGGCAGCAGCAATCCAGAGGAGTGGAGGAGGGAGATTCCAGAGGGAAGCTCCTCTCCTTGGCTGCTTTTCACCTTTTACATCGTTGTGTTTAAAGGTTTCAGCATAAAATAAATGTAAAGCTCTGACCAAATATAACAAATAAATGTCAGAACTCTTGGAGCCTTAAATTATCTTTTTTTTTTAGCGTCTCTTGCATCATAGCAAATTTTATTTTCCATTCAGGAGTTTAAGTAGGAAGGAATATAAAGCTCCAAGTGAAATTTAAGGAGAGGGAATTGAAGTGAATCTTTGCAGTAAAACACTGCAGTGTCATGGAAATTAAAACTTTTTATAGGGTAATTTATAGGGGTAAAAGATTTTATACCTTGTCAGTCCCTGTGATATAGAACAAAGCTTTTGTCATGAGGATCTGGAAGGACTGCAGTGCTTTAAATCTCAAAAAAGTGCATAAATCTATCTCAGATATTCAATATTTTTAAAGGATGAACGCCCCAAAAATAGAGAACCCCAAAAAGAGAGGGACATGTTGGTTCTGTGATCCAGAAAATGTCAATTTCAGTTCAGGTTTGAGCAGCAGGACATGGTGATGATATGGATGATTTGGATCGGATTTATTGCCAATTTAGGATCTAAATATTGCAGTATCCAAATTAAAATTCCAGGATTTATCACCAATGATTGGGATCAGCAGGTTCTGGTCCCTCCTATTGGGTCAGTGCCAGCCCCTTGTTGTGGGGCTCAGCCCACCCAGATTTGGTCACTCTGTGTCCAGAAAATTCCAACGTCAGCAGGATGGGCTGGGAACATCCAGGTTTGCAGCCCTTGGCCCTGCAGGATTCCCAATCCCAAATCACAAAACTCTTGTGGAGCGGCTTTGGGATTTACCTCTGTGTTTGAATGATCTCAGGGCTTTCACTCCCCCATCCTAAAGGGAATATTCCCAATTTTCAGGCTGGAGGTCTCCCTGACAGGGGGGATATCAGGAGACCAGTTTGTCCCGGTTTGTCCCAGTTGGCCCAGTCTCCAGCAGCATTTGAACTCCTTTTTCAGGTGCACCAAACTGAGACCTCTCATCTCCCTGTTTTTGGGGGTGTTAATGGCACCCTGAAGCCCCTCCTGCACCTCCCACCCGGTGGGATTGTCCTGGGACACCCCCAGTGCCCAGCAGGGAAAGGGAGCAGGGTGAGGGGAGCTCACAGGGAGGGTGAAAATCTGCCTGAAATTCTGTGGAAAAATCAGAGAATCCCACACAGGTTTGGGATGGAAGGGATTCAAATCAGCTAATTCCACCTCTGCCATGGGCACGGACACCTTCCACATCCCTGCCCTGTCCAGCCTGGCCTTGGACACTTCCAGGGATGAGGCAGAAGCTGAATCCCCCCAAAACCCTCAGGATTGGCTTTTTAGGATCATAATTCCATTCCATTAAGAGCAGGGTGACCTTTCCTGTAACCCCCATTCTCCAGTTTGATGCAGTGTTTTTAACAACAGCTGTCCAAAAGCATGATAGGGATTTTTTTTTTTTTTTCAGGATACTGATAGGGAATTCTGCTCCATTGGCACCTCCTGCCATGGCTGGGAGCTGCAGGCTGGGTTCTGCTCCGTGCCCTGCCAACTCCTGTGCTGTGATTTGTTCTGAGCGTGGAGCAACCCCTCTCTGAGGGCCACCAAAATCGCTGCCAAATGCAGCTTTTAATTAAATGCTGCCTGTTGTGTTTGGACAGAGCCCTTTAGGCTGGAAATTGTTTTCCATTGTCAGGAAAAATTGGACTTTCAACTCCACTGATTGGTGTTGTTCCTGCTGCCAAGGAGCAGGGGCTGGATTTTGGGGGAAGAGAGGTTTTCCTCTCGAGATCCAAGCACGATTTCCTCTTCCAGCAGTTTGGTTTCAGACAAGGAATATTAGAGAGAAAAGTGCCAACAGGACTTTAAAATCGCAGTCATCCACTCAGCAGAGGTTGAAGTTCATCATAAATTGCAGTAAAATCTCTACTGTGTCTCTCACTGTGATAAAACTCATCCCAATTCCTCTGAAAAAAGCACTCCTAGATGGAATCAAAGCTTCAAAGCCTGATGAGAGCCCACATGTTGGGAAAAACAGATCCTAGCATGGAATTTACCTCCACAATCTGAAATTAGATACTTGAATGTCTTAATTTTAAGAAATGTCCTTTTTTTTTTTTTTTTGTGCTGGTTTCGATTTTAAGCTCTGATCTTCTGGACATTTTTTATTCATCCCCCTCTGCTCTGCTGGATGTTTTTAATTTACCACCCTCTGATCTTCTTTTTCCCAGCTCATCTTTGAAGGGATCCGTGGCCCTGGAATCGAAGGGGACATTGCTATTGACGACGTGTCCATTGTGGAAGGAGAGTGCATGAAATCAGACCAACCGGCCAACAGTGAGTGCCCCTTCCCCACCATTCCTTCCTGTCTTTCCACTTCCCAAATGGATCATTTCCAGCAGAACAATCCCTGCTTTTGGGTCAGTTGGAAGGTTCAAAGTGGGATGTTGTCCTGGGGAATGCTTTGCTCAGATGCTGGGTGGGTGTGAGGCAGAGGTGAGAGTGGTGGGTGAGGTTGGGTGGATTTGAGATACTCTGGCAGGTAAAACAACATCAAAACAACGTTCAGGGGACCCAAAAGATGTGGAATCCATGGAAATCTCTGCTGTGATTCCCTGAGGGCTCTGTCTCACCCCTCCACCCATTAAAACAGAGGTAACCACATAGCCAGGTGGATTTTCATCCCAGTTCCTGCTCTATCCCATTGATGAGAGTTGTCCTTGTTGGAACACTGTAGCAATGCTGAGGGGGTCTGGGCACCTCTTTAATTCTATTTTTTTCCCTTTTTGCAGATCTACGATCAGGTGCTGTTGGGCCATTAGCACATATACGACTTCTCCCACTCCTCATCCTCATGTCTGTCTTAAGTCATCAGAGGTGACCTTATCCTGGCAGAGGCTACAAAAGATTCACCAGGCACTGGCATGAAGAAAGAGTCTTTGTAAAATGGACATTTCCAAACAAACTACCAAAGATTCCTCCACTGACTGACTCGAAAGTTAAATAAATACGTAAATAAATAATTTAAAAATTTAAAAAAAAAGCGGATTAAGAAAGCACTGGGGACTTGAAAAGGCATCACGGGAGTGGAACTCACTAAGAACCAAGCTTGAGACCGAGATCTGGCCTAAGTAAGGAAGAGACCTTCAGGTGCTTTTGTGGTCACTGATGAATTCAGCATCATCTGGTTGAACTCTCGGCAAAGAGCTCTAGAAACCCTTGTCAAAGCACAAAGTCATGGCTGGTTTTGTTTCAAATGAATCGTTTGCTTGTTACCATGGAAACCGAATGGCCTGCCAAAAAAAAAAAAAGAAAAAAAAGAGGAAGGAGAGAGAGAGAGAGGAAATACAAACACAGAGAGAGAGAGAAACACCTCACTGTAAACAGGGTACGTGAAGAGCTGGCGTTCATTTTCCCTTCCCGGAGGTTTTCAGCGTAGAGTTAAACAAATGTCGGCCCTTTCTACTTCGGCTGTCACCTCCCCTCGAGGACAACCCGGAATCGGAGCTGTTTGCAGACATTCCCGTTCCATTCCTCACGGCTCTGCTGCTTGGTGACTGTGCGCCGTCTCCTTTTGCATGCATTCCCACCCAGGACGTGCCACCTGGGCTCACATTTGTCACAGGCTTCACTGGGAGTTTGCTCGCGGCCGCTGGAAGATCCCTCTCCCCTCCCCACCGGAGTCATCAGCTCTACGGAAGTGAAGAAACCAAACCACCGTCTTTTATAAATTGCCATGGAAACCAAGTGCCTTCAATGAAACAAGCCTGATTTCAAAAAAAACAAAAAAAAACAAAAAACAAAAAAACCGAACAAAATATATATATATATATATAAATATATATATATAAAAAAATAAAAAAAAAATTATAATAAATGTAATAACGGTGATTTCGACGCGGAAGCTTTGCACCACTGAAAACGCGGGCTGTGCAAAGTCTTTTCTAAACAAACTCTGGAGCCTGGGTGTGCAGGCAAGGAGATGGAGCCGCTTCTGGAGAAGGATGGATGGACCTAAGCTGCTGTGGAAAGCCTTTGGGGTGAGATCCGTGCTGTGTGACCTTGCAGACAGCCATGGCCTTTCAGCTTCGTATCCATTCGGAACAGCTCCCGGCGGTGCTGCCCGTGGGAGCAGCACCTTTTGTTGTCGTCGTCGTCGTCGTTTCAGGTTCTCCAGTGGGTCAACCAGAGGAACAAAGGTGGTTCAGACAAACACTTGGTGCAGAAGGTGGTGAAACACGGGATGATTTTCTTACTCTCCCCCTCTGTTGGGATGGCTCCCGACATCTGGAGCTCCGGACGCTCCCAGGGGGCTCTGCCTCTGCCCCGGAGCCAGACTCGGTGCAGAGGGCGAAAGATTATTTTGTTATTGTAGCGAAATTCAAAAAAAACAAACAAACAAACAAAAAAGTTTAAAAAAAAATTAAAAATAATCCACTTTTACAAGGAAAAAAAAAATAATAAAAGCTGTACAAAATGGGTTTGAGCTACCCGAACACGTGCCGGTTTTCCACTGCATTGTAAAGTTCCCTTCCAGTTGGTTATGAAATTTGAAGACCTTTTTCCTTAAATTAGCTCAGCTTTTAACTTCATTAAAAAAAAAAAAAAAGACTTTTGTCTAAAGAAGAGTATTATTATTATTATAATTATAATAATTATTATTATTATTCTGTGTTCTCTCGACACCCTAGGATTAAAAGCAAAACATGATATGCAAATAATTGGAGTACAAATGTGAAAACAAACAAAAGATGAGTATAATAATTGCAAATATGAGTATAAAAAGCACAACGAGATGCAGTAAAACAATGACAAGGCTTGATTTTTTTTATTCTGTAGAAAAATGTTTGTGCAAATTCAGTAATTCCACTGAAGAGATAATTTTCCAGCTCTGTTCAATAAAGCCTCTTTCCAGGTAAGGCAGCCCCGTGGTGCGTGTGTTTGTTGAGATGCTGGCAGGGCTTTCCTTGGTCAACTGGTGTCAGCTGGAGTTGTACTGGTCCATACTGGTGGTGCCTGGGAGCTGGAACTTTCCCAGGATGCTCTTGGCTCCCTGGTTTTTAGGCATTTTTGGTGTCTTTAAGTTCCTGTGCTTGGAAAACAGTGGGAGCTCCAAATCAGGACATTTTCAGAGAATCCCAGGATGGTTTAGGTTGGAAGGGACATGAAAGCTCATCCCTGGAATCATGGAATATTCTGGGCTGGAAGGGACCTGCAAGGATCATCGAGTCCAAATCTGAACTGAATGGTCCCTGTGGGGATCGAACCCACAACCTTGGGGTTATCAGCACCTTGCTCTGTTTGGAAGATGGTGGAAGCTCCAAGTCTGGAATGGACTGTGAGGTTTGGAAGATGGTGGGAGCTCCAAGCCTGGATGGACTGTGGGGTTTGGAAGATGGTGGGAGCTCCAAGCCTGGATGGACTGTGGGGTTTGGAAGATGGTGGGAACTCCAAGCCTGGATGGACTGTGGGGTTTGGAAGATGGTGGGAACTCCAAGCCTGGATGGACTGTGGGGTTTGGAAGATGGTGGGAATTCTGAGTGTGGATGGACCATGGGGTTTGAAAGAAAGTGGGAAGCTCCAAATCCAGATGGACTATGGGATTTGGAAAATAGTGGCTCTGAGTCTGATGGACCATGGGATTTGGAATATGGTGGGAACTCTGAGCCTGGTGGCCTGTTGGGTTTGGAAGATGGTGGAAGATCCAAATTTAGATGGACTCTGTGGTTTGGAAGGCAGTGGGAATTCTGAGTCTGATGGACTGCGGGATTTGGAAGAAAGTGGGAACTCTGAGACTGGATGGACTGTGGTATTTGGAAGACTCTGAGAATTCCAGTCTGGATGGTCTGTGAGGTTTAGAAGGAATTAGGAACTCAAAGTCTGGATGGTCTGTGGGGTCCAGATGACAATGGGGACACAGAGTCTTATGAACTGTGGGGTCTGGAATGTAGTGGGAACTCTGAGTCTGGATGGACCATAGGGTTTGGAAGAAAGTGGAAGCTCCAAATCTGGATGGACCATGGGATTTGGAAGGAAGTGGGAGCTCTGAGTCTGGATGAACTGTGGGGTTTGACACCCTCAAAAAATACAAATCACTGAATTTCCCACTGGAAGCTCTGAATTTCAGTTGTGGATGGATGGAGGGGCAGGTCAGGCATGGTGAGACCCTGAGGTAGATTTTTTTTGGAGGTTGGTGTGTCCTGGAGCTCAGGATCCAAACCTTACCGTGCGTCTTCCCATGGATGTTTCCTGAGAGCCACGTAACTGAGGGGTGATCCAAGAGGCTTCTCCATGGGTGGTTCTGGCAGGACTCCCTTTGGAAGGGCTGGATCTGCTGGGAGCCAGAGTGACTGTCTGTCAGTCATTTCCACAGGAAATCCCAGAAGGTTTTGGTTGGAAGGGACCTTGAATCTCATCCCATTCCAACCCCACGGGCAGGGACACCTTCCACAGACCAGGAAGGAAAGGAAAACAGAAGAATTCCATTGCCTTTAAAATATTTCCATGCTTTTCCCTTGAATTTCCCTCAAAAATCCAAACTGAACCTTAACTTCCCAGGCAGAGCCCTGGCTGCAGGGCTGCTGGTGGTGGCATGATGGGAATTCTGTGGGAAGCTGGGATTTGGGAAGGGCCCTGTGATTTCTCTTTGATAAAGGAGTTGAATGATAAGGAACAGGAGATCCTGCTCTGTTGTTTGGATACCCCCAAGCAAAAACTGCAGGTTGAAATCCATCTTTCCTCTTTCCATTTGGATTCTCCTTTCCCTTTTTCCCATGGAACACTTGATAAAGAATTTCAATTGACAAAGACCACAGATGTGTTTTTCTAGGGCAGAATAATCTGCGTGTCCTGAAAATCCCAGGTTTTTGTGGGAAAGGAAATGTATTCCCATGCCTGTTCCCATTTTACTCTGGGGTGCAGGAGGTGCTAAGAAAAGTAGGATTTTTCTTCCAAATGTTGATTGTAGGAGTAGTTCTATCTTCTTTTACATTCCCAAAATAAAACACTGAAAAGGAAATGGGATTTTACTCCAGGCCGTGAATAAGAAGAACAAATTGAGATATGAATTTCCTACTCTTGGTTTTTATTTCATGTTACATTTTGGACTGAAAATGGATGTGAAAATGTTGGATCAGCCATCAAAGGCAGTTGGAACTGGCAGTTCCCTGGAATTTGAAACCCCTCTGATTCAGTTCTGGGGTATCCAACCTTGAAATGTCCTTGATGGGTTTTTAAAATGGACATCAAATATTGAATTGTGAAGCAGCTGAAGCCCTGGGATGTTGGGAAAATGGCTGGGTTTGATGGGATGGCTGCAGGAATTATCTGGCTGTTCCCAAAAGCAGAGGAGGGTGGAGCACAGGATAAGTTTTCCATGTTTTTTCAGTTCTTTCTCAGGCTGATCTGGGAGCGTAAGGATGGCTCTGGAGAACTTCCGTTTTTGTTTCACAAAGCACATTGAATGTGAAATCATGGAATCGCAGAACTATGGAATGTAGAATTATGTAGAATTATGGGTGAAAGGGACCTTAAATCCCACCCAGTGCCACCCTTGGATGGGCAGGGACACCTCCCACTGTCCCAGGCAACTCCAAGCCCCAGTGTCCAACCTGGCCTTGGGCACTTCCAGGGATCCAGGGGCAGCTTCTCTGGACAACCTGAATCCTGCATTAAATCATGAAACAACCCTTGGATCTCACCGTGCTACCAACCCACCTCTTCTGCAGCCTGGCCTGGATCCTGGATGGGACACAAGGAGGGATAAAACCATGGATTAGAAGGGAGCAAACCCATTCCAATGACACCATGGATGCACAGTTAGGATTTGAAGGACAGAAATTCCTGGGGATGTGAAATTTCCTTTTAATTTGGGACAGGAACTGCTGGTTCCTTCTAATGTGATGGAGCTGCACCATCCAGCCTCTGCAAGCCCCAGCCTCCACTGACCCCAGAGCTTTCCTTGACATCCAGCACTGGAATTCCTACTGCATCCACCATGGAGATGGAATAATCAGTTTTGGGGCGATTGGGAACCCCAAACTTTAAAACAAAGTCAGTCTTCAGCTTCTTGTTAATTTTGTCTTTTCCTGCCTAGTCAGGGCAGTGAATTCCCTTCGTAGGGAGCAGTTCAGGCAGAAGGATCTGATTTTTTTCCATGCTGAGTGGAAGAGGCTTTCCTGGTTTTATTCTGGGAGAGTTTACCTGCTGGGAATGTTTATTTTGTATATTGAAGGGTAATTGAGACTCTCTTCCTCCCCCAGAAGTGTGTGATCCATCAGGAAAATGGCTCTTTGGAGCATTTCCATTAAAAAAGGCTCCAGTTTGGAGTTACAAGCACTCCCTGCCTCTCCCATGCTAATAAAGAGATCGGGAGCCATCTGGAATAATTCTTGGATTTTCCCATAAAACTATCAAAAGCTATAAAAAAGTTTACATTTCAAATTCATTTTTATATTTTTATGGAAAATAAGCAGCACTGCAGGAATGTTCTCCCCTTTTTGCCGGCTCCACCATGATTCCAGTGTCAGCACAGAAGGAATTAAACTATTGGACTATCCCTTGTGCAAAGGAATTTATGGACCTGCAGCTCCTGCAATCCCACATTCTTGGGATTTGCAGTGTGCAGAAGTTTTCTGTCATCTGTCCCTAAACCCCTGACTGCGTCACCCCCAGATCCCACGGGAATGTTGGTGTAGGCAGGGAATTATGATAAAAGACGAGAGTGATCATTAACTCAAACACAGGGAAATTTGGGTTGTACATCCTGCTGCTCCCTGTTAAAATATTATTTCATTTTCCTTTGGATCTGTCAGACTGGGAGTTTGTTCTCAACGCATCCCCCCAGAATGGTTTGGGTTGGAAGGG